AAAAAAAAAAAAAAAAATAAGCGGAGACATCAGTGACTGTACCCCAGAGGAGAGAGAGATTTTACAGATTTAGTCTAAGCAAGTAACTAAACAAAGAAACAAAGTAATCATAGCCACTTTCAGTGGGGAAATCAGAATCCAGAGTTGCTATAATAGACTCTAAAATGTACAATATTCAGCAAAAAATTATGAAGCATTCAAAGATATAATAAAGTGTGACCCATAATTAAGAAAAAAGGCAGTCAACAGAAATTGTCTCTAAGTGTCCTCAGATGTTGGATGTGGCAAAGACTTCAATGTGGCTATTATAAATATGCCCAAAGAAATGAAACAATGCTAGAAGAATTCAAGGAAAACAATGAATGCACAATTGCAATTTTCAAGGAGACAGACATAATAATAAAAAAAGAACCAAACAGAAATTATGGAGTTGAAAAGTATAATAAGTGAAATGAAAAATTCTCTACAGGGCTTCAACAGCAGATCCGAGGAGACAGAACAATCAGGGAACTTACAGAAACATTAACAGAAATTATACAATCTGAAGAATGGGAAGAAAGATCAAAGAAAAATGAACAGTCCCAGAAACTTGCAGGTAACATCAAGAATACCAAATTTGTGTAATGGGAGTCAAAATAAGAGGAGAAAGAAAAAAGGCATAAAATATTTGAAGAAATAGTGGCTGAAAATTTCTCAAAATGATAAAACAAAAAAACCAGATCTACAAATGCAAGAAGCTCAACCAACCCTAAATACTATAATATTAATATAAATACAAAAAGTCCACAACTAGACCCATCACATTCAGACTGTTGAAAGCCAAAAACAAAGAAAAAGTCTTGAAAGCAACAAGAAAACAATGACATCATAGGCAGGGAGTACCAATACAATTAATGGCTGACTTCTCGTCTGAAGAATGACATATTCAAAGTGCTGGGGGAAGAAAGCCATCAACCACGATTTCTATATCCAGCAAAACTATCATTCAAAAGTGAAGAAAAAACAAGGGTAGTTGCTAGCCAACCTACTTTATAAGAAATAACAATAACTTTTATGCTGAAAGGAAATGGTAAATATATGGGTTAATATAAAATATACTTATGGAAAATTTTTTTTCATATCCTCCCATAATTTTTTAAAAGACTTAAAATTATATAAAACAATAATGACAGCACTGTATTGCTGGATTTAAACCATATAAAAATGTAATATATAGCAGGGGTCCCCAACCTATGGTGAGTTGTATAATTATTTCATTATATATTACAATGTAATAGAAATAAAGTACACAATAAATGTAATGTGCTTGAATCATACTGAAACCATCCCCTACTTCCCCAGTCTATGGAAAAATTGTTTTCCATGAAAATGGTCCCTGGTGCCAAAAGGTTGAGGACCACTGAAATACAGGACACTAATAGCACAGAGCATGGAGGAGGGAACAAAACTATATGAGAGCAAAGTGTCTATTTTATTAAAGATTAGTATAATCTGAAGTGCACTGTGATAAATTAAGATGAACATTGTAATCTTAAGAGAAGCCACTAGAAAAATAACTCAAAAAATAGTATAAAAAGCAGAGGAATTAAAATAGTACAATAAAAATATTTATATAACACAAATGAAGGCCGTCAAGGAGCAACAGAATCCCCACCCCAAGAATCTTATGTGATCTAAAATATTCCTTTTGAATATTTAAATTGCAAAGAATAAGATTAACTGGGACTAGGGAATCGAATGGAAATTACTAAGGTATTATTAAAATGTATTATCCAGGTTTGGTAAAATAGAAGAAAATC